TCGGCAAATCCTGCTGCGCGCTGCAAAGGATACACCCCAGCCCGAGCAAGCTCATTTAGTGCCGAAGTGGAAGGGTGAAGTCCAGTAGGAGTCTGAGTATCACGGTCGGACTCACTCACCGCATACTGTATCTCAGGTCCATTCCTGGTCGTATGCACCGACCGCGCTGTTTCATCCGAGTGCCGACGAACAGTCTTCTCTGCACCCGAAGGGCCTCGTCTCATTGTACGAATGGTAGGCGACTGGAATACATCGCTTCGGTTCAATATCTGGCTGGCAGATTCGGTGGTATCTGTCATGGATTGCAGAATACCAGATGCCTCAGTTGCCTGCTCAAAGGAGTTTCCGAAGGACAGAGATGAGTCCTGCTGTCTCATAGGCGGAGACATGCTCAAGGCATCATGCCCGAAACTAAACTGCCCTGTGCTTGCGCTTCGTCGTCGATTGCCGGACTTTCCAATGCCCCGAGATTGGCTTGTCCCGCTGGTGATCGACCACCTATTCTGGGAGGCCCGAGTACGGCGAGAGCGAGACGTCTGCTCAGGCTGTGGTGATAAGGTCTGTTGCGACCGCTTCATAGGCGTGTCAGCAACGAGACCTCTCAGAAAGTTGAATGCATCCTGGCCGTAATTGAAGAACGTGAAATAGTACTGCAGTATAGTCAGCAGTGAGCATAGAAGGCCAAAAGTCGGGCACGTACCTCATCGATGGCGTAGGTTTCCTCACTCTCCACCACGCGGATTTTAAAGGTTTCCGCAAAGTCTACCATGGGGCTCTCTTCGATATCGATGACACTCTCGATAGGGAAGGAGATCTTGACACTGCCCTTGTCGTTGTGGGTGCGAAATATGACCTTCTGCAGAGCCTTGACCCACTCTTTGGCGCTCGAGGAACTATCAGCTCTGAAGTAGTATGTTCGCTGGTCCGTGGTGACCTGGAAGTCTTTAACTTCTCGCCCTTTGTCTTTTGGCTCGGCCAAAGAAGCCGAAATCCCGTAACGAAGATCTACATGGCCGCTGGGAAAGTAGAGTTTCGACGGGTCTGCATAGTATGAGAGAACATCCCCTTTCAGCGAGAACCAATACCGATTGTATTTGGGATTCTTCCGGCCACGTTTGTAGACGTATCCGGACTTGATGGCGACGGTGGACTTCCGAGGGAGGTAGGCGTAGAAGCAGATGTGTCCTTCTGTGACATACATGTACCCCTGCAAGAGCATGCTTTGCAGAAAGGAGCATGCGTACTCAACAAGCACCTTTTCCGGCGCCTCAAAACCGAACATCTCCTTGAGCCGTAATGAAAGTGCTGATGCGGATGACTGCTTCCCACTCTCGTCACGATTTTCATCCGTAGTAGACGGAGCGCCTTTAGTCGAGTCCTCTGTGTTCAACAGAGCCCGTGCTTCTACCATGCGACTAAGGACGGGGGCTGCCCTAGGAGTGGCACTGCGAGGTCGTTTGGGAGTGGAGGCTCGAGACATTTCATCACCCGTCGGGGGCTCGGACTGTACAGCCGGTTCCTGACCTTTGTTCTGCCTTGAGTTGATCTTGAACGGGCGCAATAACTTATTATCGGATATTGTTCGTCGATGGCGACGACCGCGCTCCGGGTTCGGGCTCTGCGGCTTGGGAGATAATCGCGGCGATTCATTCCCGCTCCTGATTGGCAGTGCACCAGCGGTAGCAGACAAGTTCTCAGCATCTTTGCGGACACGGTTCTCGTCCTCTCCTTCACTATCACTCGACTCGTCAAACCGCGCATGAAAACCAGATCTCGAGCCCACCGCAGCAATCATGCCGAATATAGACTGGTGCATGTACTGCATATGACCTTCTCGAGGCCCCATACCGCCTGGGGGAGCACTGAAATCCACCTGGGAGTCATCATCTTCTCTTAAACGTTCGGGAAGAACACTGGCGAACATGCGGCTATTCGATATGGACTGCCTGCTTGCGCTGAGCCTACGGTCCACCCGCCGCTTTGCGTCATCTATAAAGGGTCGCATTTTCGGTACATAGGAAGAAAGTGTAGGACAAAGCGAGCGGGAATGGACAGGGTTCAAAGGAAGTAGTTGTTACGACCGAACCCAGGGAGACCCGGGCAGATGACAGCGCTGAAGTGTGATTCGGGCTTGACGGTTCAAGGTAAGTCAGTAGGTTCAAGTCACGTTAGGACCGTGGACGAATAGGTACTCGACTAAGGGCCGATGATCAAACATATTAGCTTGGATCCAGCTCGATCGGGCATAGGAAGAGCTTTTTCTCGGTAAAGAAGAAAAAGCAACGAGGAAGGAAATGTGACACCCACAGCGTCCACACACACACACACAGCTGGGAAGGTGATAAGCACCGTTGGAGTAACGGTACGGTTCCGGACAATGAGAACCGTCAAAGCAAGAGAGACTGGGGCGTGCGAACCATGGCCGGAAGAGAGAGAAAGACTAAGACATGGCACGAGAGAGCAGAGAAAATTAATAAGGAGCGAGGCAGGCTTAAGCGGTCGAGCCAGCAGCCTGTGCGATGCAGAAGCAGAGCAACATGGAATGGGATGAATGGAATAGTAAGTAAGTAGAAAGATGAGCCAACGACTGATTTGGGGGGGTCTGGCGTCACTTGCCCGTATCAGCTGTCCGCCTGAGTATCTACTTGTCCAATCACAAGCATCACATGTGATTGCGGTAGGGCCCGCAGCCAGTCAAAGATCGACGCTGATAGGATGGTGTCATTAGTTAATTATTGGGGAGGTGGTAATAGTCGGTAACAATACCGACTCACCGTCGCGGCGGGTGCAGGCGCAAGGGGAACCCTGGGAATCCGAGAGAACCAGGATATTCTATGCTTCTTCTATTCGATCGGGAGGCACTGATGTGTCCCAGCACAATACGGTGTAGAGGGCGATCTACCCGGGTACTACTACTTAGTAAGTAGTAGCCTGACAGACACCCTCCCGATCCACGAGGCTCCAGAACGGGGGCCTAGTGGCCACGCCGAGCAGCCTTGGTCGAAACAGAGCCCGGGGTTGATCGACACTAAATGCCTCTGGTGGGCCTTCTTCCACTTCATCCGCTGGTCTACTATCATCTCTCTATCAATCCAAACTAGTTCGAACCCACCGAAATGTTATGCCAGCATAGTCATTGTCTGGTGTTCAGGAACTCGTGGACCTCCCCGATATTACTGTTATCAAGTACGAATTCTATTTAGGACCACGGTGCTGTCCTACTGCTCGAGCGTGAAAAGCGCCTGACCTCGTCGCAGCTCTCGGGATGGCTGGATAGGCAGCCCGTGCTAGCGAGACGGCTTCATCCGGGCTAAACGTCCGCCCGCTAATCCTTCTAGCCCGTTGCACCTGCAAGTTGGGCGCGCGGTACAGAGTTACAGAGTTGCTCGAAGCAATGGACCACTCACTACTCAAGTTCTATGCATGAGGTTTAACTCTGGACTTATGTACAATCGAACACACCCCATGGCTGGCATGCAACGTAGAATTCAGCGGGCTCGTCAGAAATCACTCCCCACACGCCGGAAGAGTAAAAGCAAAAACACATCCCATCTAGTATTGCCAACTTTTGATGAAAAGAAAAGACGATAATGAAGAAGAAAAAGAAAGAAACATCATCAAGCACTTCAAGTAGACTTCTCGGACTTCTTGCGCTTCTTCTCCTCCCGGCTCTTGCTGGACTTCTTCTTCTTGTCCTCGCCTTCACCTCCCTCCTGGGCGGACTTTCTGGACTTTTTACGAGGCACGTCACCGGCCTCGGCCTGGCTCCCATCCGCCTCAGTCGGGTGGTTCTTGCGCTTTCTCTCGTCCCGCTCCTTCTCCAGCGATTTGGGGACCTTGAATGTAGGTTTCTCGTCTTCCGACTCCTCCGAACTGGATCCGAGGGTCTCGGGGGGCTCCACGCCACTTCCTACGGGGTGAAAACGCATCTTCAAGTGTTTGGGATGTTTCCTCGGGGGCTTGATCTGCTCCTGTACAGCTTGCGCAACGGTCTCATCGCTGACCTCAGGAATATCGAGCATCTCTTGAATGTGGTAGCTGGGAATGTTGCTGGCAGCGGTGCTGTAGTAGGTCTTGGTCTTCGAGTCGTACAGGTGGAGCGTCTTTCCACCCAGGTCAGGTTGCGCAAAGCTTTCCACCGGAATTCCGTATTGCACACCCTTGTGTTTCAGAACCGGCTTGCCCTGCATGATCTTGGCCAACGAGACTTCCTCAACCTTGGAGAGAGGAAGGTAGTCTGGCGCTGTGATGTGGTAGACTTGCTTGCCGCGAAGATCGGACAGGAGAGAGGAGACATTGGACTTCGGTGGTGCTTGTTGTTTCAAGGACTTGAACCCGGAGGGGGCTTTGTAAGGTTGGGGTGCTGCTAGAGATACATTACGGGAGGTCCTATTCGAGCACCTCGTTAAGCACTGACATAACTTCATGTGAGTCAATTGAGAGAAGACCTACTTCTGGGTAGAAGTCTTCTCGTTGGAAGAAGTGCTGGAGTCGCTATCACTATCGCTTCCGCTCTGGGTCGACTCAACCTCGGAGCTGGAAGATTCGCCAGCAGACGATGTGCTCATAGGAGTAGGCTCCCGTTCCTCCACAGCTTTCTTGTTCGATTTGGGTGCCATTGTGACTTATCGACGGTCCGTTTCGTATGCGGAAATTCGAGGGGAAAGCAGCTCCGAACTTGCGATGCGGAGCGCCGGTGATCGGACGTGTGCCTAATTTGTACCGCTAGAGTATACTAGATCAACGCGGAAAGTCCCAGCGGAGTATAAAGCACGTCGTAGAAGAAAATCCTGGGGTATAGCGCAAAGCGCGAGTCACTGCGAGTTGGGAGAAGCCGATCCGGAACTTTTGAGCGATAACCTTTTTTTCTGCTCCGCGGAGCACGGACCACCTGAAAGTCCGCGGCCTCAAATATTCACCTTTTTGGTAGTCCCGCCGCCCAGCACTCGATTCTGCGCAACGTCGCTGTTTTGGGAGAAATTGATCTGTCTGCGAGTATCATGAAGCGCAAAGCTGAAAAGGCACAGGCTGCGGGTAAGTTCAAGCGTCCGTTTACCAGGAATTATGGCTGACATTCCCATCTTAAGCCCCGGTCAGCGCTTTCGCGGCCCGCAAAGCACGGCAGCAGCAGGCGCAGGCCACCGCAGCTGCTGTCAAGCCCCCTGTTGCTGAACCAGTGGTAGAACCGCCACCTAAGAGAGCGCGCCGCTCACTAGACGAGCCTGTCGTCCCAGCCGCAACCGAAGAGAACCGAGTCCAAACGAGGCGATCATCAAGGCGAAAGGAAGAACAATCGAAGGCCGAGAAGCCTACGCCGAAGGCGCGCAACGATCAGCCTCCTAAGACCTCCAAGAAAGTACCCGAGCATGACACATCGAAGGATGTCGAGGATCAGGCGCCTTCGGACGAGGAGTTGGAAGAGCCAGAAATCGTTGTAGAGAATACCGGTGTCATTGGGCTCGAGCCTATTCAGAATGACGAAGAGGGGTAATTGTTGCTTTGCAGTTCGGTTCAGGCCCAGTGCTAATGGGATCTAGGTACGAATCACCTGCGGACACTGCGGTCCAGGTCCAGGAATTCCCCCTGTCGAAAGCGCGCTTGAACAAGAACAGCATAGTCTACAGTGATGAGCATAGGCTGTGTGTCCGCATAAAGGAGAAGATGGTATGCATGTCCAGCCGGTGTATATGCGCAGTGCTGACTTTTTTACAGAGCTTGGTGATGATCGGTCACTACGATCTTTGGGTCAAGCGAGGCGTGGTTAGTCTGATGGGAGCGAAACTGCACCCCTCATCCCAGGTGTATCGGGTCTACGCGCCTTCGACGCACTCGTTGCCTGTAATCAAATGCGTTTCCGGGGTCAATGGCGAGGCAGAGGTGGAGTTCAAGTCATGCCATAGCGGCATCTATCGTCTCAAGGAACTCTCGCCTCTGTATCAGCGGATATGGAACGGCAAGAATACTACAGCGGACAAGCTCACTCTCAAGGGCACTCCTCAGTCCATCAAGAGGACGTTCTCAGTGGTAAGTCTATACCTGACTATCTTTGGTCGACTGTTTAATGACTAAGTGGCGTACAGTTATATACTTCTGCGGATGATTCCCTCAAACGGCATCTAAGGCCTCTCCATCTCGAGAAGCAATGGAGCTCTGCTATCAAGTCCCTCTCCCAGCGTGGTGGACGGCTGAAGACGCTCATCTGCGGACCGAAGGGATCAGGAAAGTCTACGTTCAGCCGCTATCTGTTGAACCACCTTCTCAGCCCGGCGCCACAAACAGAGACCAACTACTATAACACTGATGGGGTTGCGTTCCTGGACTTGGACCCGGGTCAGCCGGAATTCGCTCCGATGGGGCAAGTTTATCTGGCCCATCTCCGTTCACCTGTCTTTGGTCCTCCCTTTTCCCACCCATCTTTGGATGGTTCTCGTGACGGCACGATAGTTCGAAGCCATCATATTGGAGCTACATCACCCAAAGAAGACCCCGACCACTACGTCCTTGCCGCCATGGATCTCATGGAGCGCTACCGGGCTCTTCAAGCGAGCTACCCCCAATGTCCTCTCATCATCAACTACCCCGGCTGGATTTTCGGCTTGGGTCTGGAAGTTGCCACCTGGCTGGTCAGATCTCTTGGTCTCTCCGACGTTGTTTATATGAGCGAAAAGGGACCGACCGAAGTTGTCCAGCCTCTGGGCCAGGCAGCCTACCAAGCCAAGATTCCTCTGACAATCCTCCCATCTCAGCCCACCGACTTCGTCAGCAGGTCGAGCGCACAGCTCCGCTCAATGCAAATGCAGTCGTATTTCCATATGTCGCGTCCTAACGGCATCGACAACTCACTATGGCTTGAGCAACCACTGTCTCGCACGAAGCCTTTCCGTGTCCACTACTCGGGACCGCAACAGGGCATCCAGGGTATCATGGTCATGGGCACCGAGATCCACCCTGATCTGCTCCATGAGGTTCTAGACGGGTCGATCGTCGCTGTCGTGGCTGTTGAGTCCCCCAACGCCATTTTAGGCCAAAACAGTGGACCAATGTTCGCGAACAACGCCAACACCGAAACAGATGGAGACCACGATGTCGACATGCAAGACTCAGCCGAGGCTGTTCCCATCGTCGGGTCATCGACTATCGAATCCAGCATCACGCGGACACCAAACGAGGACCTGCCTTACCTCTTTGTTGGAGCAGGAAGCAGCAACCCTCTGGACCCGAAAGTCTCGCACTGCTTGGGCCTGGCTCTTGTCCGCTCCGTGAACGTCGCCTCCCGCCAGCTGGAACTGGTCACTCCTATCACCGGATCGACTCTCCGTGGCGTTCTCGAGCAGGGTCACAGCATCGTCCTTGTGCGTGGTCTTCTGGATAACCCCAACTGGGCCATCAGCGAGGACTATTACGCCGCCCGTGCCGCCGAGAAACGCCATCGGGAGCTTATCGAGAAACTCAAGAAGGATAAGGGAGCTGCCGCTGCGGAGAACGCTACCCTTGAGTCGGAGAAGCAAGTGCTAAAAGATAGAATCCGGCGCGCGAGCAAAGTGCCATGGATGACGGTGGTTGAAGACAACAGTCACAGGCAACGAGAAGCAGCACAACGCGAGAAATCGCTATGGAAGCTGCGAAAGAAGGCATACCCTGGAAGCGATAGTGAAGGCGATTGGTAGTAACTTGCATTACATTGGCGTTGTACAAGTGCTTGCATGTATATACTATTAGACAGTGAAAAGTTTTATTCGGGAGGATTATAATGCACGAGCTGACAGCCTACATGGCATATACTTGTTTAAACCTGAAGAACATGTCCCCTTGATATACACTTAGGTCAACTATTTCATACACAAGTAGCTCCACACTGGATACCGATATATTAACGTTTAGATAGTATTCACCATCACAATCTATCAAGAACATTACTCCAATGATCTTCCCCACCAGTAGCTAGCTGCTAGCCATCATCAAACACTGCCCTCAACACCATCCGGGCGCACAACCCACCTACCACAATATCATCCCTTGGGGGGTTTGGTAAAGGGGGGTGGTGCAATAGTATAGTAGTAGCATTATGGTATGATGGCGGTAGTATAATATGACAATCGTGTGTAGTAATAGTAAGCCAGGTTTTTTATAAAGTATCGCTATGTATACAAGCAAGCAATACCAACGCAGACCTATATAACAAGTACTAAGTACTACTATCTCATATCATATACCACATTCAACTGCAGTGTCACTTCAATTGGCTTCATTAATCTTATCCAGAGAACTTCTACACGCCTCAATCCAAAAATTTGGCAAACCGATCAATCATGGGAAATGGGAATGATCCGCTCAGCCAACATACATAGGACAAATAGCTAGTAGTAGGGTTGTAGTATGTAGATTAGCATGCATTAACCCGGATTTGCATACTTTTACCCAAGTAATTGCCGACCAAAGCCCACATGAAAAGTGCTCCCCTGCATGTAGTATGTCATAATGCAACTTTGCTTATTTTCTTTCCCTTCCGAAATGGAGAGGATGGATGGGCGTCATTTATATCAATATACTAACTATTCAACTGGTCTATATATCTCGAGACTAGCCTACATAGCTGGGATAACAGTTAGACGTTCACTTAAAGTTTGGGTCGATACGGCTTGAGTAATTGTGGATTTGATTTACTGTGGATGGTTAGATAGGAAAATAGTAGCAGATAGATAACAGTAGGAAGTAAGTAGCTGAGTTAGTTGGTTAGTTTGCTTACGAGCTAGTACATTATGTGGTAGCTTTTATTACTTTTAAGCTTAGACTTCCGAACTAGTGTTTTAGTCTATCTTGGAACTTGGGTTCCTCTACAATACCAGGACCTTAGTGGGTGCACCGGTGTTTTTATCTTATCAGTGATATAGAGCAACTACAGTTACTGTGTCTTAGGTGATCATGGCTCAAGTTACAGTCCTTGATTAAGTTCCAATAAAGTAAGTCCCTTTCCGTAAAAGTACATACATGCATGTCATGCCAAATGCCTCACAAGTGCACCCTTCGTTGCCTCGTAATGACATTCAATCATGTGAAAACAAGCGTCCGTCAAGTCTTCCGCTTCTGGCGATTAATATAAGTCGTAATAAAACAGTCCGAATCACGTCGGAAAGAATCGAAAGGGTGAGGCGGAATAGAAGAAAACGCAAATCGGTTATCTACCCACGCTCTGGGGGAATAGAAAGAGAATATAAACTCAAAAAAGCCATGCTTCCTGTAAATGTGCCGAAACTCCGCCTCCTTCTGGGAATAAAAAACATGCCGTAGTCTATATCAAGTCCTGTCCATGTACCGGAAGTGAACGCCGAAATGATGTCAATCATGTGAGAGTTGTAAATGTCACATGAGACTGCTGACTGCATGTATGATGACAGTCGAATCGCGGATAACGGTTGAAATGCTCCGCTTTAGAAAAAAAATGAAGATGTGATTGGCCCGAATGTGATAATGCAGCCAATTAAGGTATGCCGTAGCGCAAATATGATGCACAGGCTATGCGATCACTGGTCGGCGAGGTGCAATAGGAATCGGCTTGGGCCCTGAGGAGATGTCCAAAGTGGACATTCCCAGATCGCTGTCCTCGTATTGGCGCGAAAGCTTATCCTGCGGCTTCTCCTTGCCACCAGGAACTAAAGAAGATTTCCGTGAAGCAGTGGCGTCTTCTTCGCGCACTGTGCTGCACACGAATCGTTCTTCTGAAATGGGCGAGGCTCCAAACATCGTACCCAACTGCTGCAGAAGCGCAACAAAGTGTGCATGTATTTCAGCAAAGATGTATTGGTTTCCCACGATTTCCGAAAGGTTTCTCGCTCGAACTTGACCCGGTCGACGAAGCTGTCCGTCTGGGTCAAGGGCGCGCCCTGTGAGGAAAGAAGAAACAGGTGTATATTGTTTACTCCCGCGTCTATTCGATGCGTTGTTTTGTTCATCGCGACGCTTTTCTTCTTCCTGGTATTTCTCCGCCGAGTTGACAATGCCCGTGGCAATGCGACCGAATGCGCGCCAAATCACAGGGCAGGCACGGAATGCTCGACCGGCGTCTTTGCCTGCCAATGCGACAAGGGCATAGCTACGCCGTTTCCCGCGAGCCATGGGGTCGGGCAGGCGAAAGATGTAAGCTATCGTATAGCCTGCAGAAGAATCGCCAAAACATATAGGGCCCGAGGAAAGACCGCGGGGCAAGAGTTCGCAACTCAGTGTTCGAATGGAGGAGCGTCGCAGCAGCGCGTAATCAGCCGGGTTGGGGGGCCCGCGCAAGGAAAGATAGGTGAGGATGTGTGTATGACAGGAGGCGTCCGATGTAACAGAGGCCGAATGAAGAGAGTCCGGGTATGAAGCATGGACATGCGGGTCATGTGTGGTATCATCGTGGTCGGCGTGACTGGTCCCACAAGAGTAGACGACCTCTCTAGATCGTAAAACAGGACTGCCGTTCCTCCCTTTACCGTCACTTCGGGCCGTTCCTGGCGCACCTGGGGGCAGCTGCTTGCTCACATCTTCAGGCAGAGTCAAGCTGCAACTGGCGCACGTGTCGCCGTCTGCGCCACCAAGAAAGTTGAGTCTTTGTTGAGTATCAGCCGGCGTGGCCTGGCCTTTCAGGAAATAGGGATGGTCTTCTATTCTGGGAGACCTCTCGGAGGAGTCGTTATTCTTTTCTGAGGGTTTGTTTGGGGTAGATTTGTTACTCGTGCGGCTCTGCAGGCCGTGAGATGAAACGGTGTCGTGAGAGGTGGCAGGGGTATCGTCGGGAGAGGAATCAGATTTGTCGGGATAGCATTGTGAACAGGGGAACGGTAGGACCTGCGAGCAGATGATCGAGGTAGGACCATGCACCTCGCAGAAATGCGTCAAAGAAAGCTAGTAGAAGGGGGATGTGTTAGCTGGAGAAAGCAGACAGGGATCCACTGTGTAGAAACGGGGTGAAAAAGGACAAGCGCAAGAGTCAGGATCCCTGCCATGTTGCACGCGGTCATTATGCGCGCATTGCGCGGTGCGAGCAAGGAAGAAAAGGCCTAATTCAGTGCAAAGAAGCCCAAACGCATTGTCCCCGGTAGACATGAAAGTGCACGTCATGCTCACACATCACCAACATCATTCACCGATGCGAAAGATACACACACACACACACACACACACACACCGAGGCACATGGGGGGAAGAGACAGGAAAAGAAAGCCACACTTACAATGAAATCCATATCCGTGAAAGTTATGGTCTAGCAGAATCCAGCAACCATATTAGAGCATTATTGCAATACATGCTTTCACAGATAAGAGTCACGGTGACGATGTGGTGGTGGTTTCGTGGCAATGACGCAGAATAACCACCAGCAAGTTGAAGGGAGGAGAGGGAAACCGGGTATGGCTGGTGCAGATCCAGACCCAGACGGTAGTAGTGGAAGGTCACAGAGGTTGGATTGAACCACCCACAACGACGAGAACAACGTTGGGGTAGTAAGAGTAATTATAATAGTGGTAATAAAGTCAGTGAAGCCGCAAAGACCAGCTTGCAGAACAAAGACGGTGTAAGGGAAAGTAAAAAGGAAAGGAGGGAAAGAAGAAGAAGAAGAAAGAGAAGAGAGAGGGACGAGACGGAGGGTAAGGGTAAGAGTATATATTAAGTGGCTGAGAGGGAGAGGAAGGGAATGGACGAGTGGGAAGTCTACTAGTTAGTTTTACTCCAGACTCTATGGAGAGAGTGAAAGAAAGAGAGAGGCATTGATTAGCGACTTTACTGGGAAGAGTAAGTAGTAGTATGAGCCAGTAGTAGTGAGTTGTTGTAGTAGTGGAGGGAAAGGATATCGGAAAGGTAAGTAGAAGGGGGAGGGGGGAACAAGAGAAGCCCGGAAGTGGAGCGGTGCATCGGCTGCGTTATGAAAATGGAAGAGGCAAAGAGAGGGTCTGGCCGGGGCTGGCCTGGCTCGGGTTGGTAATTACCATTTGGTATGGTTCGGTATGGTACTTTCCGGTTCCATCCCCTCCCATCTATACTACTACTACATACACACAGTAAACCAAGTCCTACTTATTGTTGCTGATAAGTGAATTACTTATTTTACAGTGGTTGTAGTAAAGTCCTCGATCTGCCTAAACAGTGGTCAAAGAGAGCCCAATCATCCAATAAATCCAAGCAACTATCCGATTACCAACCTGTTGTGCTTCCAGTGGCTCTGGGGGCCAAAGCACATCCCTCCCCCCTCCCTCCCTCCCTCCCTTCCTTTCTTCTCTGCCTGCTTGCCATCCAAGAAAGAAAGAATAAATCCCGGTTGGGCTTCAACTAGGCGACAAGGGAACTCACCGTACCGGAATTTTAACTACAACTAGTAGTGGTGAGATATAAATTAATTAGACGGAGTAGTATCCGGGATCCCAAAATCCAAATATTAACGATGACAAACTGTGGAGGGGTCTTTTCCGACAATATCCATTCCCCATTCCTGCGACTTACTATCTACTTGGCATCCGCCTCTCTTATTGCGCTTATTTATCTGATTCTCCCCTTAGACGAATCGTCTGTTGCAGGCTGAAATTCACCAAAGCTCCTAGTCTCCCTTCAGCTTGTCAGCGGATGGAGCCCGACAGAAAACGGTTCCGGCCTAATATGCGACTAGATTGCCCAGATGGAGTATGGGAGAGACGACAAGCCTGGGGAGGGCATGACTGACTAGTAGTTAGCCAGCCAGTATTCTGGTTCAGACGGAGGAGAGGAGGAAGGGGGAGGGGCGCCTAAACGGCATCAGATCATTAGGAACCAGAATGAAAATGATTACCCGGTCAATGATTGTCGATCATGGCCCTTCCTTTACCCTCCTTCACACATGGCCAGTTACTCCTTTGCGTACCCCATTCCAACGGTTCTTCGTTCCCCATTTCCACGATGGAATGAATGGCTGATGAGGGTGAACCAGGAAAAACAGCAAGGCGGACAATAACCCCGGGTGTAATCCGGCTGTAAGGAAGCAGAAGAGGAAAAGCCATCAACCCCGGAGTTACCGAGTGACTATGGGACAGACTCGACTAGACGAATTAGTGACGCTGGATGTGGTTGTGGTGGTGGTACTACCCAGAACTATCTAAACCCAACCCGTCACCGCGCCCGATGGGACTCGACCCAAACAAACTTCCGTACCCAATTTGACGGGACGGCGTTTGGCCGCTAAACCTGGATTTTACGCAATCGAAGGTCTGTAGAACGAGGGATGGAAGAAGTCAAATTATCACCTGCGCCATTTTTTTCCCTTTGCCTTTTCAATTTTTTTTCGTATATCCGGTGGCAGGGAGAATGGTCGTATTCTCCATAAAAATGTTACCCTTTTTTTATTTTGGTAGTATATCCACAACGTGAGCATCTAAGTGACTAGTATTTAGTTTAATCAACTAAGGTAGGATCTGACTCTCACACACTCTCATCAATCATCAGTCATCAACTCTCCAGACTCGAACCACCGACCGGTTCCCCAGCATGGATAAACGGTCAGCAACCGAGCTGGTCACTTCCCGACCAGGAACTTTCCCAATCCAGCCATGTTCGGCAAGGAACTTCAATTACAGGAATGCACCCTGGGATTATTTTCTTTGCTGATCTCCTTTCCCCCTTTTTGATTTTACTTTTTTTTTTTCTTTCTTTTCTTTTTTACTTTATGTCCCTTGACTTCATTGAAGCAAAAAAGCAATGGGAAGCAGGAGGGGAAAGGGGATAAAGCGAAGAAAAAGAAAGAAGGAAAGAAGAGGAAGCATTCCGCCTGATCGCAATCATAGGGTCATAGATCCTATGTGCATCAAATAATTGCCGCCTCCCATGCCCGAGGGTTTCGATACGAACCAGGGTCGCACCTTGATCCCCCTTCGGCACTATCCCAGTTACTTACCGAGTGCAGCCTAGGATTCAAGTGGGGGGATCCAGCATTAAACCCAGCGACTGACTAGACTAGTCGCATCGCGATAGCCATCCAGACTTACTTACCCAGTTAGATCAGTGAGATCAGTGAGATCAGTGAATCCTTGGGTAAGCTCCGTAAGGCAGAGGCAGACACAGAAAAAAAGAGAGAGACGGGATGAGCATGTGCATCCGGAGCAATCACAGCCCAGCCATATAATCAGGATTGGCGCAGCTATTATCACACAGCGGAACTACTGGACTAAACCTCCATGGTGCCTATCCGAATATTGGATCCTCTGCAGGCAGCCTCATCCCGCTGTCAGCCACCATTTCCTCCCTTCCAACCCCAACTAAGTAAGAGCTCGGAAGGGAGGCTCTCACATGGAAGATGATGATGCTGTCTGGGGGGACGATCGGGATCCTTCCCATGCTTGAGTTTGAGTCTACTGACGACTATACCCACCGAGGTGTTGCGCCTCCCGCCCGACAACGGCCGTTATTCCTTTCTCGATGAACGAAACAGACGCTATCCATTTCCAGGTCTCGCCCTGGAACAACTGAAGTACGCATGCAGATACTTAGCGACAAGTCTTCGGGTTAGAGATCCGAATCACCTCCTGTCTATCACTTGATTCCGCAATCTTTGGGGTCCGGAGTTCCGAAGTATTCCCGTCTGGGCAATGCAACAGCCTCCCTTTAGAGACAGCCCACGTATGTTCACTTACACTGCCCGGAGCACTGTAAGATTGGGGGTTTCATCAACACGATCAAGGAGGTATCAACCCGCCTGATACTTGTGATTATTGTAGTTCCTCCGGGATCACCCCCCCAAAACATGGGCAGTCGCGCGACAATGGCCATTTCTTTCTCCGATTTGCTGCCTGCGCCCTTGTATGGTAAGCTTCTAGCGGAAGACGGTAATTAGTTTGGTATCGAGCATCCCGCTACCACCCTCCTACTCGATACGAGACGCAGTAGCATCGATAATGTCTGATACTTGCCCCAAAGTACGAGGAGACAACTCAAGTCGGGTCGAACCTTGCTGCGCGATCGGACCATCTCCAGCCAGCCGGATGATCCATCCAGAGAGCGACAGATACCGGACGCAGCAACCGCTTGCCGCATGCGGAGTGCAGCCTGCTGTAGGTGATAGTTTGAAGTGTACCTTGGATACGGAGTATATGGCGTACAGCAAGAACTCTATACGCATACTTACAGCCAAGTATAGGACTGCGTCTAGTGCAGCGGAAGGATTTCCCTCGCAAGCCATCTCAGCTAAGACCCTCCTTGTGTCCCAGCAACGGAACGTCCCAAACAGTCCAAAGAATCCCCGGGCATCCCGCGTGTTTTGACGAAGTTTCGCCGAACCGACATCACGATAACTCGTGGTATGTAATTATGGTGAACCAGCGACCAGGATGTGAATCCAGCAACAGCCGCTTTGCGATCGGGGAGAAATACTTGCTGTCGAAGGAACAATATTAATTTACCCCATCACGTCACAGTGCAGTAGTCTTAGGACGGCAAAATTCTAGCCTACTATATGATAAGTTCGAAAGTTAATCCGCGTGCCTTGTATCCCGGTTGTGTTGTGCTCTTATCGCTGGGACTGCAATATACTTTTTGCCGGTCGCGATAGATCTCCCGCCGCGTATAGATCTATCAACCCGCAGTTGTTGTGTGTAACCCGACCGTGAGATTGGGGAGGGGGAGATACTACCGTTAGACAGGTACTATCTGCAATCTGCACATCCACCAAACTTTCCCAGAATGTAGGATGGATCCCTTGTTGGACAGATCATAAGCCCGTCATATTTCCTCCGCAGTGCAGGTCTATTCAGGTCCTACAGTAGGATAAGTTTTGGGTGAATACTTCCGAATTCATACCCTTTCAGTCTCTTTCTTATCGTCTATCTTCAGCCTCGTGGCCTACCTTGATACCTATCGATATCTATCAATTCTTAACATTCCTCCATCCATCCCAAATAATGGATAAATACTAGCTAACTTTCGATCCGATGAAACCCGCCCCCCCCCCCCCCAAACAAACCCCCAAGTAATGTACGACCATCACATCCCATCACAACAACCACAACAAACAAACAATACTTAACAACTAATAGTAAAACAACTAATAGTAATAACCCGTACGGTAAGTACCAATACCGATCAAGGCAAGCAAGCACACGACCACATACGACTTGCCCTCTTTTTTGCCTCCCCTTCCACTCTGCCGACCCATTCATCCACTCACCCACTCATCCACCAGCCGACCCGACAAATTGAAACAAGTGGGAATCCGCCCGACGGGAGAAACACGCTCCACTGTAAGTGTAAGCAAGTACTAGGCAAGCAAGCAAGCAAGCAAAGCCGTTCCAGTTCGCAGCAGCAGCGGCAGCGGCAGCGGCAGCGGCAGCAGCAGGAGGTTTCTTTACTACGTAGTTCCCACAATCATAACCAAACCCAACCCTTTTTTTTTTTTTTTTCGATTTTCTCTCTCATTGGGTGATGAGGTCTCCATCCGCTCACGTTTTCTTATTGGGATGCAGACTGAACACTGGAACTCCACGTGGCTTATGAGAGATTTGATTAGTAGGTGTTGTTATTGTTATTGTGGGTTGGGTTGGTCGGTAAGTGGTTATGGGCACGGCGTGTTGCTGCTACTTGCAGCACCCCAGATCTCTATCTACACAGTACTGCTATCCAGATGCATACTAAGTGAGCTAGCTATACAAATACTACTTACTTTCTACATAGATTAGCCCTCAAAATATATACCAATAGGAACCCACGGAAGTACTTACCAGGAACTAAGCAACTAGCAGAAACATAGCAGTCAATCAAACAAGGGGGGAAAAAAAGCAAAAAAAACACACACACTTACTTAGTAGGTAACTTCCACGGCCTTTTCGCTGCAAGAAATCCTCATTAAAGTAAAGACGGCCAGCCACACTTGTCAACTTGTGTCAACTAAGTAATTCTAGTTAAGTAAGAAGGTCACTAAATAGTAAACAAGGCTGGCCTCGCCTGGTCTGGAACTTTTTTTCTTTCTTTCCTTTCCCCTACTGCATGCAGTCTGCAAGTGTAAGCTTCGACGGATGACGACTCGCGTCCTTTCCCCTCTTCTCCTCTTTTACTTACTACTCTCTTCCCTTGTTTTAGTAGATCGCTTCGACCTAACCACATAGTCATTGGAATTAAACCTGCTGGAAGATGATTGTTTTCTTGACATCTGTGATTTGAATAAGTGGGTATTTTCATGTATAATTGCTGGGTATTATTGAGTTAGATTCTCAGTAAACTAGTTCCGTTCATCCTTTGAACCGTGCTCTGCTTTGTTCGGCTCAGCTCAGCTCAGAAACAAGTCATGTCTTAATGCGATCTTCATTGTTTTCTTTCATATATAGTAAGTGATATGAGTAAAATATACCCGAGCGGGTGGGTTAATTTGATTAATATCGACAGACCAGGTTTTCGTTCACATTTCACATGTTTTTACTACCACACAAAGTTAGTACTTAGTTGTTTACAGTGCATCTATAATTCCTATAACATATAGCCAATATAGTATATACACAAAAGAACAATCTATATTCCCTTTTAAGAAATAGATTAAATAAGAAAATGAACTAGTTCACCACCCAAATCCCGCTCTTCCCATCTATAACTAAATCCAGAAACCCGACTGAGAAATTATTTGTCAACTTGCCCACCCACACACACACGGGCAAACAACAACAGATCTAAATTGTAAGCATAATGTAAGCAAAATAAGAGTTCTGGAGTCTAGACTGCATAGAGTTGTTCAAGTTTGAGGGGTTTTTTTTTTTCTTTCTCTTTTTCATTGTTATTTATTTATCATTGTTATTATTTATTGTTATTATTTCGGGCCCTTTCCGTTGGTGGGAAGAATATTATTTGACTGGAGCTAGAACTGACTAACTTTAGTGGAGTGGGAACGAAGGATGGATGGATGTGGATGGAAGGCAGAAGGGGAGGGGCCAGTGCTTGGCCCGCCACTGGGCTTGGGTGGGTACGTAGTACTGAGTAGGCTACTAGCCTACTACCAGGCTAGGTGGAGTATGTTTGGTAATTGATTTTATGTGATGTATTCATTTGGGCTGAATTCTGTCTCTGTCATGATGGGGTTTGATGTTTGAGTTAGAACTTGGTGGTAATTGTTGTTGGGGATGGGTAGGATATATTTAGTTAGGTTGCATGTGGTGCTTGTTGAAGTAGGGTTGGGTTGTCTTTGTCTATGCGTGGAACACTAATTGCCAGCAACCCCATACAATTCCGTCCTGGGAACGTGTACAATGCTTCATGTCTGACGACGATATATACTGGAGACAATGCGGAAACATATATCCCACGGCAATCTGAGGTGCTTGCAACGCGAAGGCTGCAACAGATGACTGCGATGGATTTGTTGGTAGCATATTGAATAGAATAGAATGGTACCCGGCATATCCTTCGTTACGATAATCATGGTAGGTTAAAGAAAGATGCTTCATGGGACCAAGTCAAGTGGCTATCAGGTCCGATTTCAATGGGACAATCAATTAAATGATTCCATCTCTGCTTCCTGCCAGCCTACGACCACCACATGGAACTCTGTTATGCTGGTCAATGCACCAACCCATTGTCTGTGCACAATATACACGATCACACTTGAATGTAGAATTGCTGGCATACCATTCAATCAATTAAAATAGAAAGTCGATATCATTACTTATACACTACCTTATGAACAGCACCACAGAATCACAACTGGACATATAATCTTACATCCCACTACTCATGACCTCCCCAGTAGCAAACATACCTACACTCAAGCATGATAATCAATCTCCTACAATACTTACACCAGGAATAGCCTAAATCCTTGGCAAATTAAACCTAATCCTACTTTCGGCCGAGTATTATTTCACAGGAATATCATGTCAAAGAGAGGGTATAAATCTTCATCCGCAGCATGTTAGCTCAGGGGAAGAGCGCCGGGCTCATAACCCGGAGGTCCCTGGATCGAAACCAGGACATGCTATCTCTTCTTTTTTTGTTTATATTTCTTTTACACTTTCTATTTTTGTGATATGGGCTGTTCACAGAATGATCATTACTACTTTTTATCATGAATTAATGGTACATTTGGTGTTTTGTGCACTTTATTCGTCTACTCTAGAACACATACCGACTCAAATCCCAATATAAAATGGAAGCACAAGGCTAAACCACCTCGCTTCTAATACTGTTTTCTGTGATGAGGTACATCGTATGTAAATTAATAATACATATAATATATCATACTATCATATTGTACATACCCTTGAGTCATGCATGGCCCAAAAGAAAATCGGGTACGACATGTATATTAAGAACCCGAGTCAGTCTGCTTCTGCATTTACTGGTGGTTTTGTACAGCACCTTGTAACTAGAGAAAGTTATACCTTATTCAGTGAGTTGAATCCAAGATTTCAGGTAAGTACTATGTGAGATAAGGATATAATTAGAAGCAAGAAGAACTGGATTGGTAGCTGGTAGTACCTATTCAGATATCTGGATCTGCTCGGTTCCTGCCTTCGGACAAGCTGTAACTCAAATCTCTCTTCATGACATGCCATCTCATTCAACATGCATTATCTTGACCTTGTAGGAAACAAAGAGCCGCAGCTACAATCGTACCCCCCACGGCGGAATCACAGCGAAGATAGCGCCATCCACGTACGCTGGCGTCTTCGACTGGCCAAGTCTTCTCCGTTTTATTGGCCTATGAGGGTCTTTTCCGTATCCAGAAGAAGAAGCAGCTCCGGTGTCACGAGGGCAATGCCTGAGCGCAAGATTATCCCGGTTCTGCTCATTTACCCACATCACTCCTGGCAAGGTAATGCATGGCCAAGCCTCACTTGCAATCACCTATCGAGAGTGTGTCTGTTAGCATATGCTATGGGTGCAAGTATACAAGGTATATTTGGTTAGAGGTTCTGAGTGAGAGTCATACTTTGGCAGCCTTGTTCTTCTCATCAATCTGGATGGGGATGTTCTTGGATTTTTCGCGCTCCAAAATAGTCGCAACAGTCCCCGGTGCTAGAAATAGCCAGCGCGAAGGTGTCTAGGCCACAGGTCTTGAAGGCTGAGTAGAGAAGATAATCGCAGTCCTTTAGCACATGTGCAATGCTCTCTGAGGCGGGATAGGCGTAGGAGCAGAAGGCCCCGAGGATGCCACCTGTTAAAAGGTCAAATAAGCCACAAACTAGAACAACCAGTTCCTTTGGCAGAAGGAAGGGAAGACAGGAATGTAGATATAGATTGGGAATGTACCTTGACTCATCAAGTCAGGGCTCCCCAGAATATTCATCACTGCTGCCTTATGTGGCTGCATGCATGGCGTGAGGGATGATCTAGGATAAACATATCGCACGCCAGCATCTAAAGCATGAAGTTTGTAAACCAGAGTGATGAGTTTTCGCTCTGTAACAGGCACAATCTCACGCTCGCAGTCATCATAGAATGCAGCCCACTGGATAGTCGAGGAACTGGCCGGGCTCCAGTTAAAATCGCGAACCTGCTTATTGTGTCGCACATATAGGTTCCCTCCGGTGAACCGGGAAGGCAGGCTCACTACGAGCAAGCCAAATTGATTCTCACTGTCGGGGGACGTGATGTGCTCCCGTTTGAAGCCGTCGGGGCTGGAGTAGACCTGTCCTCATGTTTTGTAAGTGGACTCTTACCCTTCCCACCCTATACCTTTTCAATTTAGAGAAGAGGGAAAGGAACCAACATCTAGCATCCTGAGATCTGCAATCAGTTTCCTGCTAGCACCAACATCGAAAGACGGAAGCAGCTGTTTCTCAATTTCATCAAGAATACCAAGATCCACCGGATGGAAAGTAGTGGCGAAGTGAGCAGGCTTCAGCGTCCGGCCTCTGTGAAAACCAGGAACAGGAAAGCACTTTTCACGACTGATATAGGAAGCAGGGGTACAATCACTGATAAGCTGCTGCAAAGCTCCTGCACCAGAAGCGTCGACGTCATCTTTTTCGCAGATAGGAAGAACCAGCACGTGCGGCACCGAATCCCTCGAAGTCCAGAAAATTTTGACGGGCTGGGACTTGGTAGGGACGTGGCCATTTCCTGTGATGGAGGTATCGGTAGTGATAGGAATGGATCCGGAACATGAAAAGGATGAAGAACTGCCTTTGATCAATTCCCTGAGTGAGGAGTAGTCGGGTTCATGAGTGAGTTCTGGCGGCATTTTGAAGATTATAGAGCTCGTTCTGTGTAGGTGGGTGGCACCCTGAGGCAGGAGTGGTACTGTACAGGAGACTTAAAAATCAGGACACCGAGAACAGGCTCAATCTTTAGGAGTAAGGTAGATGAGGGGGAGCGACGAATAGGGAGTAACAGAGGTGGTGAAGGATCTGGTGCAATGCATGGATGCAGTGAATGTTCCGGCAGTGAATACATGTAAATGACTTTCCTGACTTTGAAACCCTGTATCATAGAATGGCCGTAGTTACGTCGAGCAGTAGAAGTAGATAAGGAATCATCGTGGCTAAGTTACGTTGTTGCAACAGCATGAGCCTACTTATCCTGTCTACTATGGGAAACAACTCTTGAACTTACAAGTCGATAGAGGTTCATCACCATCACGAAGTCAAGTTATAACAGATGAATCAATATATGTATCCGAATTCAGTCATACCAGACAAAAAGGACATCATCCAATTCTTACAAGAAGTCAATAAACAATAGTCAACACCATATCTCAAAACTTCACCCCGCGTATAAACAGGTATGGAAGGAGCCCATATATCTCCTTCAGCCAGTGACAGATATCCAGTCCCACACCGCGCCTCCTTTCCGGAAAACCCATACAAAAAAGAAAGAAGTCATAACATGCATACGTGCAGATCAAATCATTCATCGCCCCGTAATGTAGTCCTTGTTTTCGATCGTCACACTCTTGGTCATGTGGTTGACCTTGTAAACACCGACCAGTCGAGAGGCAAGTTCGAACTATTGTTGAGAGTCAGTAACGCGCTGCTGTAGCAACTATGGCGAGAGCCTTACCATGTTGTTTCTCAGAGAAATAACAATAAACTGGGCGTTCTTAGTCCTCTCCTTGATATAGGACGCCACAATTGAAACCTAGGCAGATTAGCAACGCACTTTTAGTAGCTGGGGTGGAGTACTCACGTTCCGGAAGTCCAGGGCAGCATCGATTTCGTCCATCACGTACAAGGGAGTCGGCTTGTAGTGATGCAAGGCGAATACCAGCGCCAAACTGGAGAGTGTCTTCTCACCACCGGACAGATTACCAATGTTCTTCCAGCTCTTCTTCGGAGGCATGACGGAGAACAAGATACCCTCAGAGAACGGATCCAAAGAGTCGACTAATTCCAGCTCCGCGTTACCTCCCATCGTAATCATCTGGTACATCTCCTTCAGACGAAGCGAGATAATGCCGAAGCCTTCCATGAACCCATTCAGACGAGCAGATCGGAGGCCATCAAGACGAGCCTTGGCACTGTCGCGCGACGCCAGGGCAGTGGTCAGATCGGCCGAACGCGCTTCATGTTCAGCCGTTCTGCGCCTGTACTCCTCGATGACACTAAGGTCGACAGATGCATTCTGGCTCTTCTCCTCGAGGGCAGCAATGGCTGCCTTCAACGACTCCTTGTTCATCTCCATCAATTCATCTTGAGTGAACATCTGGAGCTCTGTGGCTTCCTGCTCTTCACCCAGATCGCTGACGTTCTGCAACGAAAGCTTGGATAACTTTTCTTGCCAGTACCTCCCGCGCTTTTCGTTCTCGGCCAAGGCTTTCTGGTTCTCCTCAAGCTTATTGCGCATCTCGATCTCGGTAGCGCGGGACTCGTTCAGTTCAGCAACCTTTTCATCCAACTCAGCCTTCACCTTGCCGAGCTCCTCTTTCTTTTCGTCGAGAGCCTGTCTTGTGTGAGCCTGTGAATCTGATACATTTCCATATCGGACTTACCTCTTCCGCTTCCTCCACCTTCTGTTTCCACCCCGAGGCATCGTTGGCCTGGTTGGCAACATCCGCATTAAGTTTCTCGAGCTCCTCTGTCACATGCTCAAGTTCCTTCTCTGCGTCAGCACGGGAATTCTGGTGCTTGACGATGGCCTTCTCGTTCTTTGACTTTCCAACTTCTGCATTGGAAATCTCCTCTGCAAGAAGGCTGATCTGCTCCTTGAGACCGTCGACCTTGGCCTTCTGACCACGTAGTCTAACACCACCAACTTCCATGATCTTATTCTGGAGAGTCTGGATCTCTTCCTCGATGCCGCCCTTTTGTTCACGAAGGTCTTCGATTTCTTCCTCCAGAGCAGCAATCTGTTTCTCTAGAGCTGCAGCTTGGTTCGCGTCCGTCTTTGATGGCTTGTGCTCGGCGCTCAGTTCCTTGACGCGTCGCTGGGCGTCTGCGAGACTTCTGTTGGCACTTTCGATCTCAATCATGATCTTCTGAATTTTGGTCTCCGCCCGTGGTATCTCCTCGGACCTCTCTCTGATCGCTGCCTCCATTTGCCGTTGCTTCTCCAGGAAGCGCTGGAATTTCCTCTCCATTTCTTCCAAATCCCCCTCGAGCTGAGCAACTTGCTCTCTGCTTGTCTCTGCCACTTGCTTGGAGGACATGCCGCCACGTGCTACACGGGTACCACCGCCACTCATAGTACCAGACATGTCAATAAGTTGACCGTCAAGGGTAACGACCCTCCACCGCCTGGCTCCATAGGCAATGCGGTTGGCTTGCTCAAGGTCTTTAGCAACCAAGGTGTTCTGCATGACACTGTAGAATGCGGGGGCAAACTTGGAGTCTTTGGGCTTAACCAGATCAAAAAGTCGAGGGACCTTCTCCGGAGTTGCGATGGAGGACAGATCCCGCCGTGGGAGTCGATCCAGAAGAATGAAGTTGGCTCGGCCGAGATTGTTCTTGCGCAGGTAGTCAATACACTGCTGACCGACCTCGACCGTATCAACTACCATGTTGTCCAGCGCTGGACAGGCAGTCGAGATAGCGACATCATATTTCTCGTCGATAGTTCCAAGGTTTCCGAGCCGGCCGTGGAAGCCTTCAATACGGCCCGACTCCTTAAGACGCATAAGTCCAGATAAAACGCTGCCGCGATTTTGAGTGCTTGCAAGACTGGCCCTTGCCTCATCTGCCTTCTGTCGAGCACTCGAGACATGGGCCCGCACTTCAGGTTCTCTGTGGGCATACTTCTTGAGGTCATGCTTGAGCTTCTCGACCTCTTGTTCAAGTGTCGACTTCTGCTCCTTGCGTTCCTCAAGCTCGGTTTCCTTGGTAGCCAAGCCCTCTTCAATCGAAGCCACCTTGGCCTGAGCCTCTTCCAACAGGACAGCACCCGCGTTGCTTCTCTCACGGATGATGTCAAGTTGACTCTGAGCCACAGCAACAGCCGAGAGCTTCTTGTTGATCTTCTCATCCCAAGGCTCCAATGACTTTTGCTTTGCCGTGATTTGGTCCGAGAGGCCCTGAGTTTTGCCTTTGAGGCTCTCACGGATCGAGTTCAGTTCCTCTTCCTCCATCTTCATCTCCTTCTCAAGCTGTGTAGTCTCCTTAGATTTCCTTTCAATGTCGTCCGCATGCTTTTGCACCAAACTATCACACTCAGAGGCAGCCAGTCGAGTACTCTGCATGGCCTTTTCCAGCTTCTTCTGCTTTCCTACCAGGAACTTCTTCTTCTCTTCAAACTTGACGGATTCCTTGTCGTACTTAGCCATTTCCTTGGCCAAGGCCTGCATCTCCTTTTCCATGCTCTCATATTCCCGCATGCCACGCTTGTATGCCTTCTCGAGCTCTTTGATACCGGACTCGTTGCCCTCGTGCTTCTCTAGCTCGAGGTTCAAAAGCTCTTGCATCTGCAGGATGGCTTCCTCGGTAACTCGGATGTTGTCCCCGCACTCATTAATGTAAATCTGGTAAAGTGCAGACTGTTTCTGGGCCAGCTCATTCTCGTCACGGATGAAGGCGAGTGCCTTGTCCTTTTTGTCTTCCAAGGCGTTCTTCTCCTTCTCTACATGCTGTACACGATTGTTCTTTTCCATACAGACGTCGTTCAGCGTCTCCAGCTCAGCGGCTGCTTCGTCGATGGGCGTCTTGTATTTGGAGGTTCCGATAATATCCTCGAGGTACTCCAGGAGACCATCTTCATGTTCGTTGGCAGCCTTGGCCTTCATCTGTGCGATTGACTCGACTTCACCTTGGAGAATAAGGAAACGCTTATGATCCAGGTCAATGCCGCGGTCGCGGAGCAGGGTGGTCACGGCGGTAAAGTTCGTCTCCTTGCCATTCATGTAGTACTTGCTGCTGTTGTTTTTAAATGCCTTTCGGGATATAATCAGTTGGGAATCTGGGACTACTTCATGCCCTCCAGTAGGTAAGTCAAGGACTTCCTGGAAGTGGACTTCGACTTCGCAGTAGGGCAAGTTGGGAAAGTTGGCGGAATTGTGGATGAGAGCGGAAACTTTGCCCTGTCGCATCTTGCTGGCTCGGAAACCGAAGACAAAGAGCAACGCATCGATGACATTGGACTTTCCGGATCCGTTTGGTCCAACAACCGACGAGAAAGAGGCATGGAAGGGCCCGACGATCTGCTTCCCTGCGTAACTCTTGAAGTTCATCAAAATTAGTGTAGTAATAATCAAGCGACTCTTAGGTTCGGATGGCTCCTCGGGTGCTGAGGGGCCCAGCAACCGAGACTTCATCATGATATCCATCGGCTTCTCGAGAACAGTCGTATTGGGGTTGATCATGGCGATCTGGGGCTTTTCCTCGCTTTCGGACTTCGCGGGCGTCTGATTCACAGCCGATTCAGTGATATCAGCCAGGGGGGGCACACTGCCTCTCTGGGATCGGGGTTGGGACGGGGACGGCGAGACGGAGGGCTCTGGAGTTGGGAGTAAGGACATTTCCGGATTGGGCGTGTGGGAGACACGACTCTTGCGGGGGTGAGCCATACTGGTTATTTTGTTTACCGATGCTGTGACCTGTGAGGCAGTCTCGGGCTCCTCCACTGACGCGACGCTGTCGCCTTCATTGTCGTTGGTATCTGTGAGTTGCGACGCCTCCGACAATTCTGCGGTTGCCGACCTGCGAGATCTCCGTGTAGTGCGTGTGGCCTTGGGTGTAGTCTGCTCAACTGTGGCTCGTCTGCGCGAGGACCTCTTTTCAATTCTGGGTTTCTTGGGAACAGGCGTGGCTTCGCCGCTATCGTCGTCGTCTTCGCCGTGCTGAGATGCCGTGGGGGTGACATTTCCGGGATCCTCCTCTTCGGAGGTTTCTTCGATAGCATAGCTCCGCCGGGCGGCGGCAGAGCGCCTAGTTGGGCGGCTTCTTGCGATGGATGACATTATTTTGGATGAGTCGTCGTCGTCGCCAGAGACGGCTTCATCAAGGCGAATGTTGAAGCGGGCGCAGTTGCAAAGTTGCGGGCGGAAGTGGAAAGTGGGTTGTTTACATTGTGTCCCCATCGGGAATGGCGTTGTTTTCTGCCACAACATGTGCGTCTTTGGACTGTCTGCTTCACCGCCCACCTGCCACGGCGGCCCATACAATTCATCGCGAGTAAATAATCAGCGCTGCATCGGAATTGTTCTGCGGACATATCTCTAACAAAATGGCTCCCTGGGATGATTTCGACTCTATTTTCTACTTCAACAAGAACTTCACCTACGATGGCAAGGTCATTGAGCAGATCGTCGCCAACCGCCGTGCACTTGAAAACCAACTGTTCGCCGACAGACTGCTAGGATTGCTCGGAGTTAAAGCAGGTATTCTCTCCCCTCATCAGCTCCGAAGTGAAGGTCGTTGTTAATCGGGAGCAAACTTCTAGTCACGCAACTTTACCCTCCCAGATCCAATGCAGACCTCCGGACTCTTGTCGGACATATTCTTTCCTCCCCCATGGACATAGAGCACAAGCAAGCGTTGATCTACTATATCCTGAAAGATTGCCGTGCCGCCAGCGATGCGGCTTCCCAGTTTTCGCGCCGGTGTCATTTGCCTGAGAAGTACAGGCTGTTCATAGAAGGACTGTGGAACCTCGATAGGCTTGAATTCAAGGTGCGTCTCTTCTTCGACGCAGTTTGCGACAGTTGCTGACCGAGAATGCGCCGATAGCGAGCCGTCGAATATCTGACCGAGCCTTCTATCATTCCAACTTTTCCGGATGAAATCCTCTATGTCCTTACTCTTCCTCGGCTTCCCAAGCACGATGACAGCCTCGTAATGGCATACTACCTTACAGTTTCCCCGCCTTTGGCATCGGAGAAGGTCCAGCGAGCCTTCTTCAAGACGCTCTGTCGTTCAAGCATTACGGAAGCATTCTACTTCACCCGCAAGAACGACGACACTCTACGTCGAAGCTACCTTACACAGCTCATTGAGTTCGTGCACACAACTGACGCTGGCCCACTTCGGAGCAGTCGCGCGCTGGAACTGATCGGCCTTCCATTCGACGATCAAGAAGAGGAGTGGTTCGAGGATGCTCTGCTTCACGGTAGTGCAAAGGGTCTCCATGGCTCCAAGGACACAGTCATGATGCGCCGCCTTGCTAGTGGCAAGTTGAGTGGCCTGGCCCAGGAGCTTGAGTCCCTCGGCGGGGAGAAGATTGACGGACTGAACTGGGATGTCCTGAGGCAGAGCGTCACACATACACAGACTTCTCACTCCAGCGGTGGACAAGCGTGACATGAAAATTGATATTATGGGAATTGGCTCGGAGAATAGGAGTTGCGCATCGGATCCATTGTAATTTTATGAAGCATTGGCATTGAACAGGCGACGGTTGCTTTTGATGATTTAACAAGGCCGAAAATATAACCACCAGTATACCCCGACCTAATGCCTTTCATAGTATTATTTGCAGCCTGTAGAAGAGTAAATGAAATGATGGACCGTTACAGACAAACTGTATCTCCGCTGTTGATAGCTCCGCGGACAGGAACATGTGTAAATTACAATACCCCGCCCATACACTATGCATGGATTTCCGGTTACTACTGCAGCCTGAGGCGGCGAAATGTACTGTCACCGGATCAATCCAACCACCACCGGCCATCCGCACATTCTCTCTAGTTATATACACCGCGACCAGCTGCGCGCGCTTCGGTTTCTGATATTACTTAAGAGTCTACTTATTCGTCACATCTTTTTCTAACAATTGATCAAATAGATAGCTCTAATTCGTGGGTTTCTGACTTTCGATTGAGCTCTTATCATCACCGTCAGACGGTCAGCAGGGGCCTCTCGTACTGTCCGACGCCGCAAAGGCCCAATACGACATGGTTGTCTGCACGTACTTTCAGCAGGGGCGGTGCAGATTTGGAGGTATGAAGATACCTTGCCACCAAGATCAGATTTTGCTCTCGTATCGGTCTAAACAGTGGACTAACAATCATTCCAGACCGTTGTAAGAATGAGCACCCCAGCCAGCAGACATTGAGCTCCGGCAACCGTTTCGGGGCACTTGCTGGGGGAGGTTTCGGAGGTACGTTTAGTGTTTGCTGTTGGAGACAACACGACACAACATGCTCTGTCTATTGAATGGGCTGTAAAGCCATTATGTGCCCCGACTTTCATCGTCTACTTTGAACTATATCATTATCGTCATTTGTTCTCTTCAAGAACTGTCACTGCATTATACTTGCTTCACGATTTGTTGCTTCCACCATATGTTGTGAGATTTCCTAACTTCAAACATAGGTCGTGGCGCCCAGACTCAGCAATCTGCAGAGTAAGTTGTTCTTCAGCCAAGCTATTTTACATGGGACCTTTCTGACACCCCACAGCTATGGAATCACTACGGCGGACATCAAGGCCGACCTTACCGCCGGTAAAGGCCGGCCAGAATGGGTTTTTTCCTGCTACGGTCCCGGCAGAAACGCCCCCAGGCAATTATTTGGAGGCGCAAATCGAGAGCGGAGTTTCGAAGAACTGCGACTGCGCCATTATGAAGCTGCCGCAGCAGGCAACGCCGACCAGGCAGTCCAAGAAGCTCAAGCTCTGTATGGGGAGGCCCTGAAGCAGATGGATGTCATCCTGAATGATCTAAACGGTGCTGTGAAGTATGTCGTCGACGGTATCAATGAACGTCCCAACAGAATTGATATCGTGGAGGGCAAGACCGGCCCTGCTTCCACCCCAGCACCTTCTGCTTTCGGTCAGCCCTCGCAACCTAGCCAACCTTCACCATTCGGGCAACCCGCTGCTCCCAGCTCAGCACCGGCTTTTGGCCAGCCTTCAGGATTAGGCAGTCAACCCTTCGGCAAGCCCTCTGCGTTCGGTCAGCCGTCAGCCTTCGGGCAGCCCTCGGCCTTGGGTCAAACATCTGGCTTGGGGCAAGCACCTGGCTTCGGACAACCTAGTGCTTTAGGTCAAGGGTCTGCATTTGGACAGCCCTCAGGCTTGGGAGGAGGGCAGTCGGCATTCGGGAAACCAGCCTTTGGCCAGCCTAGCTTTGGTCAGCCTTCTACCGGCCAGTCTTCATTCGGCCAGCCATCATCACTCGGAACATCGGCATTCGGGACACCTGCTGCGGCCTCCCCATTTAGTCAGATATCAGCTCCTAGCCAGCAACCAAGCGGCTTTGGTCAGTCCGCCGGACAAGCATCACCGTTCGCACAGGTCGGGAGTCAAACCCCGCCTCGTCTTCTGGCTTCGGTCAACCCTCGACACAGCCGGCTGGTTTCGGCCAACCGTCACAGACAGCTTCGCCTTTTGGTCAACCACCACAACAACAACCGGCCTCAAACCCTTTTGGACAACCCTCCACGGCCGCAGCTCCGAGTCCCTTCGGTGCTCCAAGCCAACCAGTTGCACCTTCAGGATTTGGACAGCCTGCTAGCGGATTTGGGCAGCTAGGCCAATCAGCGCCTGCTCCCGCTCTTGCATCCACGCCAACAGCTACCGCAGGAACCGGCCCTCCTGCCATCATCAAGATCGACAACCCCAATGAGCTACACCCCATCCCACCGCTGACAGGTCAGACCATCCGCGACCCTATGACCAAGAGGCTCTCAGCCTGGAAGGGGCAACCGGTTAAGTACATCAACAACGAACCCTGCTATCTACATCCGCAGGATCGTCAGACCTACGTCCGCATCTTCTTTCCAGATGGACCCCCTGATGCAGCCAGCTTACGGGACGCACATGCAAAGGACGAGGAATATACAGCTGAGGTCACTGCGCAGTACGAGTTCTTCGTGCAAAACGGATGCTTCAAGGACGGAGTGATTCCGAGCGTGCCCCCGAAGACGGAATGGGTGAGCTTCGACTTCTAGCCAATTCAGGCTCTCGGACTTTCTTTTACATGGTTTACTTGGGCATTGTATTATATAGATCATTAGCATTCTTTACGGACGGAATGGGCGTCCAGGCGGGAAATTCTCACACGGAACAACGGAAGCAGTAGATTCACTGCTAGTATTTGATACCAATACACTACACACTACACTACAATCCATCATAGGAGCATGCAATTCCACAAAAGAAATATAGTTTACTGCTTTTTGAACTTTTTCATTTTCAAGCCAGGAACTGGCGGGTATCGACGAATGCCTCGCACGGCCGCAGCAGCACCACAAAACATAACCTCATCGTCCGCGCCACCCCTGTCACGAACCCAAACCGTATCCAGTGAAGGAAGAGGTAGGGATTTGTTTAAGCAGCAATGGTGACCTCAACCTCAACACCAGCCTCGATGTTGATGATGATCTGCTTGACGGTCTCGGTGGGGGCGAGGAGGCTACAAACGTATTAGTTTTCCATATTCCCTTCCAATATCATCACATAGTATAGTAAATGGGGGAACTCACTCGATGAGACGCTTGTGGATGCGCATCTCGTACTTGTCCCAGGTCTTGGAACCCTCACCGTTGGGGGTCTTACGGGTGGAGATGTGAAGGGTCTTGGTGGGAAGACGGACGGGACCCTTGACCTGGAGGGACTTGGAGCGAGCACGGTCGATCAGCTCCGAGCACACCTTCTCGAGGGAAGCGACCTTGCGAGAGGTGAGGGTGATACGGATCTTGTGGACCTTCTATATTCCCATCAAAAGAGGTGTTTGTTAGTGATTTGTCGTTCGCATTGATTGATTGATTTGATACATATATAACCCCATGTCCCAATGGCATTGCATTGAAGACATGTTATATATGTATCATGATGATGGTGGTAGACGTACAGGGCCCTCGCCGAAATCCTTCTCAGGCTTCTGGAAAGACATCTTGAAATGTAGTTTTGAGACGGTGGGGTGACCGGTGGGATTTGAGATGCTGTTGGACCTGAAGGTTAGTTGTTGTCGAAAGGAGAAAAGAAGTTAGAGAAGGGGGAGGGCATACCGCAAGGGAGGCTGGACTGCCAATCAAGACCTGAACTATCGGGGTTCGGTAATGTGATGATGGCCGTTGAGGAGAGAGTCTGGATGGTTTGCCGGGCGGAATAACAATTATCGTGCAACTTTTTTTGTCCAAATTTTTATTCATCCATTCTTTCTTGCTTGTGCGGGTGGAGGGCTTGGCGCTCGGCTAAGGAGCTGGTTCGGGAGCTAGTGGCTCGTTGTGGTTAGTTGATTTTGGGTTTGGGAGGGCGGTGAGTCAGCGGGATTGGGGAGGCTCGGTTTGGATAGTTTAATTACTCCGTATGTTGGAACTAACTAGATAGTCTGCACTCTGTAGATGGAGGGATATGGTGGTGAGGGAGGTGGCTGTTAAGTATTGAATTATGAAATCGTTTGAATTGTATCAAACTATGTATCTGAAATTTCCTTCATAATTATCTATTAGTATGGATAGAAGAGTACAATAGCTAGTCAGGTTATAGTCCTCGACAGCACAACAAGGGTGACTAGGACAGAGATGATAGTGGTGTAAACAGTCTAGTATAATTTGGCATGTGGTGGTTGTTTTTATATGTTGGTATGATAGCTTACCTTAATGGTGATTGCATACATGGGATAACTGATAACCGAGTATGGCTTCCAGATACAATGGAAATATAAGGCACAAGAGTACAAGTATATTCTGATATTCATGTAATATATAATGCATTCTATAGACCAATAAATCACAAACCGGGGCATTATCTCATTAGGCACTGTGAGGCAGTCAAAAGGCATCAGTCATATCCGGACATTCACCAGAAAGACTATATAGTGCAGTGGGGTAGGGGTGGGGTGGCGTAGCGTAGCGTGGAGTGGGACTATTTACAACAAGGATCTGGGGGATAGTACATGGTTGATAAAAGTGACAGAAGGGATGCATCTAGCTTGGTCGCTGACTCGCATAGATAGTCTTCAATGGCTTCAATGATGATCCGAGAACACACCATTCTCCGCACACGATTTCCTGCACTCCTCGAGAATGCGGACCTGCTTTGCGACGTCGCCAAGTTTGCCAATCACCTCTTTGTTACCATCGTAGAAGGTGAAGATGGTATAAGGGATGCCAGTGTCACGGCAAAAGTCGAGCACCAGGCGCTGGGTCCGACGCAGATTGTGCCGCGGAATGCGGGGGTAGAGATGATGGATGGCTTGGAATTGAAGACCACCGTGGAAGAAGTCGAGCCAGGTCGGGCAGTCGACATCCATGGTGGTGCGGAGCATTCGTTGCGGGAAAGACTCGTTGACTCCCATATCGGAGGTGGACATGGCGAAGTGAGAAAGCGTGATTTGCACGTGTAGCGGAGAGGTAACCATGTGAGAAACGAAAAGGAAGGCAAGCCGGCTGCTCCAGTCCGGAATCGAGCGGTACATCACTCCATAGCCAAACCAGATCCAGAAAAAGACCTGACCGCCAATCTCAAACCACCGATGCCACCAGGCGGGACCTTTCTTCGGGGCTTGGCCCGTGAAGAGGTATTCCCAGCTCAGACGATACAGATTGAAACGTCCAAACAGGAGGATGGGGTAGTAGAGGTAGTTTTGGAAGCGCAAAAGGAAGTTTGCCGCAGCATCGAATTCCATGATGCGGTCGTAGTAGGTGCTGCGAAGGCTGGTAAGGAAGCGGTGGGAAACGGCGAAGAATGGCATGTGTTCGATATCAGGGTCGTGTTCGGGGGCGTTCGTCACGATATGGTGGACATTGTGGCTGCGTTTCCACCACCCCAGGCTGAGTCCTCCGAGATAGTCGGCGATAATGATACCAATTACCGTGTCGACGTGGAAGTTGTGCGTAATGCCCATATGGCCAGCATCATGGGCAGTAAACACAAGCTGATGCCAAAAGCATCCAAGGAAGAAACCTGAAGTCGCATACCATCCAATCTGGAGGAAATAGTAGGACAAGGCAGCGAAGAGCGTATATCGGCAGCATTCGATAAAGTACGAGAAGTAGCGACAGTCGTAGAGCCCCTCCGCACGGATCTGCCGGTCCAGATCACGATACCTCTGCTTGATCTTCTCCTGATTGTCCAAATCTAGCGAGGGGTATTTGGCCGTATCGAAGACGAGTTCCTCCTGCGTGCGCGCATCGAGAAAGAAGGGTTTTGGTTGGAACTCTTCGCTTTTGGCGGCCGAGGCTGGGGTTGCGGGCGCAGGTTTCCGCTGGCGAGCACCTGACGTGCTATCGACGGCATCAAAGATCGGAGATGGCGGCTGTGACGTTTCTTGACCGGAACTCTCCTGACCAGAGCTCTCTTCATCGGACAAACAATCCTCGGTATACGGACGAAACTTTCCGCCCTGGATGGGTGGCAGGAAGTTCACCCATGGGCCCTCGATGCGACCGATCTGAAAGGACAACATTCGCTGGCGCGCTTCCTTGGAGTGTAAACTGTAGCAGAGAAAAGTCGGAGTCAATGGTCTGTTCGCACCCGGGCCTCCCGGGGTTCATGGGGGCTACATACGCGTTGATCTCATCGGTGGCATCTTTCCCAACCATGTGCCTGATGGACTTGTCTCCTCCGGGATGGTAGGGAATCCATGCATCGACCCTGAGTACGCGACCGTCGAAGATGATGACATGCTTGCCTTCAGAAATAAGGCCCTCGATATACCTTCGGGACAGAATGGTGTCCTTCCGGGCCGCGGAGGTAGAAGGAGCGGTGACCATGGTACGGTTGCAACAGGTACCTGTGCAATACCAACCAAGGGATCGGGGACAAGGGGTGGTTACAAAGAGGGTGAAGGATCAGCCCAAGGGGGCATCATATAGTGCAAAGAAATAGTAGGGGGGGTGGAAGATTAGAGGGGGTAGTGGAATGAGAAGATACAATCCAGAGACCGAGAGAAAGAGACCAGATGGAGGTAGAAGGACAGGATGAAGATGGAACTACTACTAATAGAAAAAGCGGGGACGCGAAGGTGAAACGTGCCGGCGATCGTCACCCGATCCAGCGAGTGTCATTCCACCCACATTTCTGTCTCCGTCTCAGCCCATTCATTCCCCGTTCCATCATCATCATCACCACCATCATCATCACTGACTTACTAGTATTACTTCCTAGCTTCAATCTCCCGCTTGCTTTCTTCCCTTTATTTTGTTCTTAGTTTATTTCTTCCCCTCCTTTAATTCCCTTCCCACCGCCTCTTCTGCACTTACTCTTCCCCAGACTCCTCCTCTCCTCCCCTTCTCCTCCTTACCCCCCCCCAAAACCCAAGCTCTGATCCGCGAGTCCCTCCGCCCCCCTCTACCGTCCGTCTTCTTCCCCCAGTTCGGTTGTCAGCGTCGTATGATCCAACATGGCCGCCAACCCAGGAGAGGTATAGTCAACTCCCAGTGTGCGCGGCTACACCACGCCTCTATCTAAATCGATAGGGGCAGAAAAGTAGTTTGGATGTTCTGACTCGGTCCGCCTGGTCCTTTCTCACAGGATTCCCTCTCTCCGCTGATCCAAAAATGGCTTGAGTGGGACCAAGTAAGTCCCCTACATTTGTCAGATTCCGATCCGCCCAGCTCGGCTTTAACTCTCCCCACCCCCAATAGTAATGGTGGTAGTGGAGGTATTGCTGTTGCTCAATGCTCTTACTCATGCGCTTTCCTCATCAACCTTCCGAAGTCTCACTGCTAATGCCCAACCCTATCAGGATGCCTCTACTCGCGGGGAAATTGAGCGGTTGCGCGATGCGGGAGACCTGGTGGAGTTGCAGCAGCGCCTGCAAAAGAGTACGTGTGGGCTCGAGACATGCTTCATCTGATCTTCTCGTACCGAATTTAGGCACTTTACGCTCCCCTGCCTGTCATGTCTAATCCGCATAAACTGCAGGAATCCAATTTGGCACCGCTGGTCTCCGGGGTCGCATGGCAGCGGGCTTCTCTTGCATGAACTCTTTGACTGTTATTCA